AAGGCCCTGGGTTCATATCCCAGATCCCCCTATCTGAAAATGGGAGCAGGAGAGGGGCAGTGGATCATAGCATAAAGACCCTGTTGAGAATCTAGAGAGATTCTCTCTTTTTAAGAGAGATTTTTGCTATAGGGAGCATGTGCTTGCCAGAGACACAGAGAGAGACATAAAGCGAGATATCACCCTTGAGGGAGGATAGCCATGCCATAATCCCTTCTCCTCCATTCTCTTGGGATTTGGGGCATGAGTTATAAGCTGCTGGGTCCAGGACTCAAACCATAGTCAGCCATGTGGGAGTCCAACAACATAACCATTATGACATCTGCTGGTCCCATCTCTCTTTTTCTCTTTTCATCTCAAAAGAAACTGATGAATTTTTTTTTCAACAAAAAGAGCATAAATGAGGGCTAGCAAGTGGTGTAGTGGTTAGGGTGCAGGACTCCCACATGGTTGATCGTAGTTCAAGTCCCGGACCTGGCAGCTTGAAACTCACACCAGGCATGTGTGCATGCATTTCCAAAATACTGAGGAGAATGGAGGAGTAAGGATTGCAGTGTGGCCATCCCCCCCCGGGGGGGGGGCTAATTTCTCACTTTTTCTCTCTCTCTTCATCTTTCTCTATCTCTCCATTGAGCACACACACCCTATAGCAAAACTCGCTCCAAACAAACAGACAAAAAAAAGTATAAATTGGCCTCCATGGGAGACCAACCTTCTAAGAACTAGAACACCAAGACTTCCCAGTATTGGCTTTCACCATTTCCGTTGAAAAACCCCAAATTCAACCCCTCATTTTACAAATGTGGAAACTGAGTCCCAGAAAGGGAGTAAGGTTTTGACCTCTGTGGTTCATAGCGTAAAGAGCGGCAAATGCAGCCCAGACCTCCAGACTCCACGTTCGGTGGCTGGTCTTCCTCCTTCCCACCTCCCTCCACTGCCCTGCCCTCTCCCGCCTCCTTTCCTCTCTCTGCTTTCCTCCTTCACTTCCGATCTTTTCCCGGTCTTTCCTTTCACTGTCTCGCTCTGCCGCCTTTGCCCCCCACCCTGTGTTCCTTCCTCTCTGCTGTGCTCCCTGTCGGCCCAGGCTCCCACCTGCACTGCTCATCCCTCTGTCGTTCTGCTGCCAGCATTGCTGAGTGTCTGCCACAGGCTAGACATAAGAACCTGTCACCATCAAGGCCTCTTGGGAGCTCCCGGGGAAGTCGACCACCCTAACTGTGCTCCACCCTAGCTCCCACTGGGTTTGAGTAGTAGGGCCTGGCCTGGCCTTGGGCACTCCTGGGCAGTCCTTAGGTCTTCCAATTTAAGGTGATCTCTGACTGTGCTTGCCAAGAGATCCTTTACTCCACAGTGAGAACCTTGGGCTCCAAAGATGTGTGTCAGGTCATCACTGGCCACCTCCCCGGAGGAGGAGTCCCCTCAGTTTTGACTTGCTCAAAGGGAGTGTCATGTGAATCTGAGGAATGACTCTTCTAAGCAGCATGCCCTGGACATACCAACCCCCCCTTTGAAATTTCCTCACCTCCTCTACAAGACACACCAGGTCCCTGTAACGCTACCATCCTAGGAGCAGATGAACATTTCATTTAAAGCTGCTGGGTGAGCAACAGCCTAGCCAGATGTTCCAGCTCAGTTCCGGAGCGGCCACTCTCGAAGGAATCACCTCAGGTCAGGGGGGCCAGTCCTCTGCTCGTCTGGTTCTGAAAGAAACCTGATTCAGTCACTTCTCCAGGGATGCTCAGGCCCTCCCCGCCAATCACACTAAAACTCTGATTGACAACCCAGGAGGCCTCATTGTCACTGATAATGCTTATTAATCCTTATTAAGAAAGATAATTCCCTCTGATGGTTATCTCCAGACAGGATGTCAACATGGAAAATGAATTCCGTATCAAAGCCGGGTTGGTCAGGAGAAAAGCCAGGGTCACCTGTGGCATGGTCCTGAGGGTTTCTGAAACTGAGCTCTGATGTCTGGGGACACTGGAGCAGTTCCCCCTCAGCTCGGGGGAAGCCAGGACTTCACGTTGCAGTCTTTCTGCATGAACTGGCTGAGCACCTGGGCTCAGCAGAGGCTGCTGGATGTCCCCACATGCCACCATGTGGTGGTCCCCTTCTGTGCTGGCCCCACCCATTTATTCTCCTCTTCCACCCACTCCCAACCCTCCAGAGTTTAGCACCTGTGAATTCTCCCTGGAATCTGAGAAAAGGTTCTGCTGGGAAAATAGTGAACTACTGAGCCATTTGTGTGCCATTGACTTGGCCTTACAGACCTGCTCCAGCTTCCAAATTGACCTTGACACACTGTGATCAAGGCACCTGCAGGACCAAGGCCCTTTTCCTTCCCTTCCCCAAGTCTACATCAGGAGCCACTCAGCTGGGCCCTGAGAATTGGCCGCTGGTCTCCAAAGTAAAACGTGCAGAGCCTGCCCTCTAGTGGCTGCCTCTGGTCCTTCAGCAACCTTCTTCAGACCCAGCCCAGAGGTCCTCTGCTTTCCCAAGGGCATCCTGGAGAGTCTCTGGACAGCTAGGAAAAGGGCATTGTGGGCTGAAGGGGAGAAAGGGTCCTGGATATGATTTCCTCTCCAGTTTTTTCGCCTCACAGTCCTGAACCGGTGGAGGCAGGCCCAGGGTAAGAGGCCCAGCTGCTAGCTGAAGGCAGAAATGAGCTGAGGATGAGGTCGAACTCATGGCGGGACAAACAGGTGGCAGGCCTGTGGAGCACCTTAGCCTGAGCATGCAGACTCGGCAAAGCCAGCTCACCTCTCTGTAACCCTATCTGCCTCTCAGCCAAAGGCAAAAGCAGGTTCTGACCTGGTGACTTCCTAGGCCTCTCCCAGCTCTGGTCCTTTCCCTAGGGAGGACCAACCCACAGCAAGAAAGAGGAGCCCATCACTGAGTCCTTACCGCACAACTGAGAGGAGGGACCCTGTCGCCAGAGACATGGAGTAAACAGGCATCCCACCAGCTCCCAGGAGGCACTGCCGGTTCCACTGGCTGCAGCCAGGAGCCCACGGCGGGGTGCATGCATCAGGCAGCTGATTGAAATGGGCACAAGTGCATCTGTGCTCAGAGCTGGTCCACTGGGACAGCCACGGCCAGTCCACGTGGCTGGTGTAAGCTGAGTGCACTTCCTTGGGAAGCCAGAGGAGCCCAGTGTAAAAGTACTGTGGCTGGGAGCACAGCTTCTAATGCCTCATGGAGTTGCGGTCAGCTCAGATTCTGCCACATACCAGGTAACTTTTAGAATCTCTGTAACACAGAACCAGCCGTTGCTGTAATGGCTGTCGCTGGACTCCCATGTAGTTGACCGCAGTTTGACCCGGATCCAGTGGCTTAAACTCACGCCGGGCACATGTGTGTGCATGCCCAAGATCTGAGAGGAGAATGGAGGAGAAGGGAGAGAGGAGAATGGAGGAGAAGGGATTGTGGTGTGGCCATCCCCCTCTGGGGTGATTTCTTGATTTCTGTCTCGGTTTCTCTCTTTCTTTCTGGTGAGCGCACACACCCTATAGCAAAAAAAAGTCTGTAACTGTAGAATGTCTGTTTAGTTTTCTCATCCATAAAAATGGGGATAATGACATCTACCTCTTAGGCTATTGAGAGGATTAAATGGTGTGATTTTTATAGAGCAACTTCATAGGGGCTGGCATGTAGATGGTGTCTATAAGTGACGGTTTGTTTGTTGTTCAACTTCCACAGCCACCACATGCAATGCTCCAACAATACAAATTAAAGTATGGGACCAGTAAATGGCATAATGGTTACATCATTGGACTCCCACATGGCCAGCCATGGTTCAAGTCCTGGACCCAGTGACTTGAAAATCACACCAGGCATGTGTGTGTGCATGCCCAAAATCCTGAGAGGAGAATGAAGGAGAGGGATTGCAGTGTGTTCATCCCCCCTGGGGGGGGGGGGTGATTTCTTGCTTTCTGTCGATCTCTGACACATGCCCTATAGCAAAAATCTTTCTCTGAAAAAAAAAAGTTAATGTATAAGCCATCCATAACAGGATTCTTGGCTCTTATCTTAGTTTTCCCTGGCTGCTAAAGCAACATACCACAGACTGAATAACTCAAACAACAAACGGTTATTCCTGTTTCTCCTGGTTCTAGAGGCTGGGAAGTCCAAGATCAAAGTGCTGGCATATTTGGTGTCTGGTGAGGGCCTTCTTCCTGGTTCAAAGATGGCCATCCCCTTGCTGCATCTTCACATGGAAGAAGGTGCTCTCTAATATCTCTTTTTCATTTTTCAAAAATTACCAGAGTGACTGTGTGCTCACCTGAGAAAGACAGAAAGAGAGGGCACAGAGAAAGCACTCTCAGTGGGGCATGGTCACACCGCAATGCCTTCTCCATTTGTCCTCCCCATCAGGACTTTGGGCACACATACACATATACCTGGTTTATTTGTTAAGCCTCTAGGGTGGGACTTGAACTGTGGTCAGCCAGGTGGGCTCTGGCTCTCTCGACCACCCAGCTACAGGACTGACCCTCTAGTGCTTGTCTTATAAGAGTGCTGATACCATTTTTGAAGACCCTGCTCTCATAACCTAATCATCTCCCAAAGTCTCCATCTCCAAAAACCATTGTGTTGAGGATTGGGTTTCAATATAGGAACTTCAGGAGCACAAATACTCTGTCTTCAGCACAGCAGATTCTGTTTCTGGGGAGGGCTCCCTTCCTGGCTGGCAGACACCTCCTCCTCGCTGTGTCTTCACATGGCGAGAGAGAGGATGAGCGAGAATGAGAGTGAGCATGCGCACTCGGGTGTCTCGTCTCCATATAAGGCCATCAGTTCCTCGAGGATGGCTCTGCCTCATGACCACGTCCAATCCTAGTCACCTCCCGAATGCGCCCTCCAGTGACCATCGCACTGCAGATGAGGGCTTCCACATAGGAATTCTGGAAAGACACATTCAGTCCCTAAACGTAAGCCCTACATTTCTTTTCTATCAGCCTCCCCTGTACCGTTTGCTTTTGTCGGTTTGTTTTTTGCAGTGACGTAAACTACAGGAAAATCCTGCCTTCACCTTGCCCCAGCCCACACCGCCAGGAACAGAGCAGCACCAGGGCCCACCTGGAAGACAGGTCTGTGGTCTTCTTCTCCCTCAGGTGCCTGAGACAGCCTCTGCAGAGGGCAGGGTGGGCCTACATTGCCAGTCCACTGCCCCCCACAACCCAAGGAGCTCCTTGTCCAGGAGAGAGGCCAGCCCTGGTCCCTGGGGAGTTCTCTAGAATCTTTCACACACAGTGACTCTCAGAACTAAGGTATTTCCTCCCAGGGTCACCAGAGCCCTGGAGAAGCTGAGATGCTCCCATCTACTGTGAATAGATGTCCCAAGGGCCATCAAAGGACAGAAGATCCAGCCCAGGGCAGTCAGAGGTGGGGATGAACACAACTGATAAGCCGGGCAGCTATCGCACCCCCTGACTAGACTGCCCACTGACCCGCTTCCCCTGGCAGACTTTTTCCCCAAAGCTGCCCAAGGCTGATCTACCACCTACCCGGAGCCTCAGGTAGACTGCAGGGCTCCAGTGCAGCCTCTGCAACAGCCCTGCCCTCGTGCTTCTGGCTGAGCGGCAGTGACAATGCCAGCTGCACAAAAAACTGACCAGTCGAAAGAAAAAAAAAAAGTGCTTGCAATAATGAGCAAGGCTCTGTTGCACACAGTCCTCTCTGCCTTCTGAGGAAGTGAGCCCTGTGGCTTGCTGTGTGGAGGGACAGGTGTGAGGATGAATGGTTGTCGCTCTGAGGCTTCTGAAGAGGGATGCTGTTTAGCAAGGTCCTTTTCTCCCCCCAAGCATAAGTTGAACAGAGACACAGGGAATTAGAAAAAGACACGAGGCACTGATGTCATGTTGTTTACTGGCTGAGTGTAGGGGGAGCTCACAGAGCTCTTCGTAGGCTCACAGAGCCCGTACATAGCTGCACTATGACCACTTCCTCCCTCTTGCAGCTCGTAACGTGCATGGAGAACACTCACAGAGTGGCTTCCTCCCTCTGGAGCTCACGCACAGAGCTGAGCTGAGCTGAGCCGAGCCGAGCTAAGGCCATCAGGGCTCACCAGCCTGAACCAAGGCCAAGCAGAGCAGGGCAGCACTAGCAGGACAGAGCAGGCCTGAACAGCATGGGGCAGGGCTATGCAGGCAGGGCTAGATGACCAGGGGCCCCCTTTTCCTTAAAGTGGCTGCAGATAATACTGACTCATTGCCAAAACCAGACTGCCACATACCCACATGTATTTTCCATTCAGTGGCTAGAACAGCAAGATCATAATTACATAACAACTGTGCAAGCACAGTACAACTAATAGCATAAGCTATTTACCCTGTGGCCTTCAAACATGGATAGGGTAGGAGGTGAGGGAGCCAGACAGAACCATCCTGACTCCATCTGCAATTCAGGTGCTATATGCAGACGCTGGGTAGAGAAAGAGTCAGGAGACAGCACATTCCTGCCTCCCTTTTTAAGGAGATTTCCTGGAAATCACATACAACACTGCTGCTTCTAAGTTTCACCAACCTCAACAGGGTCTCTTGACTACCTACCCATCGCTGCAAAGGAGGCTGAGAAATACGTTTCTTTCAGTCACTGCAACTTACTCAGTTAAATAGGGTTTTTGATTTTTGTTATTTTTCCCTAGAGGGCATGTGTGCTTGCCAGAGAGAGACAGAGAGAGGGAGAGGAGAAAGCACCCCTCCAGAGTTTGTTCATGCTGCAGCCCTTCCTCCTCCACGTCTCTCTCCTTTCAGGATTCTAGGCATGCCTACCTGTGTGCCTGATGTTTCTCAAGCCACTGGGTCTAGAACTTAAACAAGTTCAGTCACACAGTTGAACATGTGAGGTCTAGATGCCTTAACCACCAGGCCACTGGCTGGCCCTAGGGTCATCTTTTTAAGGGGAATAATCATCTCTGTCTCGGGGGGCAAATAGCGACCCCACAAAGAGGGCTGGGGAGACACTGAAGTGATGCCTAGAGGATATGACGTCTACGTAGGTGCTGAAGGAGACAGGCCCCGGGTGAAACGGGGCTGTCAGTTCAGGTTAAGTTGGGGGGATAGTAGTGAGAGAGCCGCGTAAAGGTCTAGGGGAGAGCAGTCCAGGGAGAAGGAACGGCCAAAGGCCCTGAGGCTGGAAGAAGCTTGGCATGTTCAAGTAATAGACAGAAGATGGCCAAGGAGGCTGGAGTTTAGCACACTGGGGTCAGATGGACTGGAGTTTGACTTTGATTCCAAAAGTGATGAGAAGCTACTGCTGGGCTTAAGCCAGGGTGTAGCATGAGCTGACTGACACGATACAGGACAGGGATGGCTGCTGTACGGAGGAGGTGGGAGGGAGTGAGGAGGAGCCGAAGGGAGGCCCACGTCTTGGGTGAGATTTGTCACCAGAAATGGACAAGCACTTTGGAAAGGTAAATGCCAAGTCTACTCCTAAACTATGATATGTGTCGTCCCCAGCATTCCCGAGAGCCCGATGTCATCCATCCCTCTCACTGGGGACAGCCAGACGGACTCCGACATCCTGGCGTTCATCAAGGCCAGACAGAACGTCTTGCAGAAGAAATGTGAGTGCACCTCGCTCGGTGGCCCTCCAGAGCCCCAGGTCACCCACTCTGCTCACCCACCTGGGGGAGGTGAGGAGAGGATGGAGTAAGCAGTGAGGACAGAAGGGAGTAGGAAGCTCCCTACAAATGTCTGAAGCCACCAGACAGGCTTTCTGGTCACCGGACATGTGCCCTCAGCCTCTGTGTCCTCCTGGAGGTCACAAGGGCAGCATCAGAAACACCAGGACGGGCCCGCGTGGGTGGGTACCTGGACACTCCTGCCCTGCTCGGCAGAGCTCTCTCGCCTCCTCCAGATCTTCAGCCACTTTGGCTCTGACCAGAGGCAGCTCTCCTCTCACAAATAGGAAGGGGCTGAGTGATGGTCTCGTAACCTGTTGAGTCCCTGGCTAGAACCACCCCCTCCTGTTGGAGCATGGTTCTGGCCAATAAGCTGTGGATGTAAACACCACTTGAAGGCCTGCCCGAGGACACTGTAAGTCAGAGGACTATGTGTGGCGTGACAGACAACAGGAAGAGAAGGAGAAGGCCCTTCTTGGCCTTCGTCACTGGCCTGCTCCCCTTTCTCGTGGCAGCTGCCCATCTGTCTGTCGTGGACAGGCCTTCCATCCCCAGACGCCCACAGGGATGAGCCCTGGGCCCCCCACCCAGCCTACGTTTAGTCTTAGCCTCATCCCAGTGGCCCAGCAGCTACTCAACAGGCTTAGCGTTGCCTTCACGAGTCAGAAAGGCGGCCTCCGGCACTCTGTTGTGTGATAACGAACCCTGCCCTGAGGGGCCGACGCTCAGCTTCCTGACCAACTGTGTGCGGTTCACACGGGAGGTTTGTGCGTGCATGGAGCGCCACAGCCGAAGGACGGCCTTGCCTGGTCATCCTCACCAGTGGCAAGCAGGGACCTGGCTGGTAGCCTGCCCCCTGTTCTTTGTTCACCAGCAGCACTACTAGAAATAGCCCCGTCATCAGGTTTCTGAGATCCAAGACAGTCTAGCCCTGGTCCAGGGTGGTGGTGACCTCGTGACCTTCTCTCATCCTCAGTTTCCTTGTCTAAAATTGAAATGAAAAAGAAAGAAAATTAAATCATTGATCTCCAAGGCCTCATCAATACCCCAGATATTCTAATACGTGTATCGGAAATTGAACAGAATGAGCAGCCAGTCAGTCAACAAACACCGTATTTATCGGCACCTTCAGTGTGCCAGGCGTCGCTGTTAGTGCTGGAGCTACAGCAGTGAACAAGACAGAGTCAAGTCCTGGAGAAACTGGCATTCTAGAGGGAGGGAGAAGACAGACAATGCAGACTGTCATTTCAAAAGGGAAATAGGAGGGCCAGCCGGTGACTTGGTGGTTAAGGCACCGGACTCTCATGTGATTGACCTCGGTTCAAGTCCAGTGGATTAAAACTCACACCGGGCACATGCGCATGTGTGCTCAAAATCCCAAGAGGAGGGGCCAGCAGGTGGCATGGTGGTTGAGGCAGCTGGATTCCCACATAGCTGACCACGGTTCACATCCTGGACCTGGTGGCTTGCTTTCTCACTTGCCCTCTCTCTGTGTCTCTCTCTGGTCAATTTTTAAAAATAAAATAAAATAATGACAACGAATACAATTAAATAAAATAATTCTATAAAAAAAAAGAAGAAAAAAATCACAAGAGGAGAATGAAGGAGAAGAGACTGGGGCACAGCCATTCCTCTGGGGGGTCATTTCTCACTTTCTCTCTTCATCCCTCTCCTGAGGGGACGGCAAATAAAATTTTTTTAAATTTTTTTTGAAGTGAAGAAGATCACAGAGGGGCTAACAACATAGCTAGAATAGCTAATGGGTTATGTTGCAGGCAACAGCTAGGAAGGCTGCTCTTAGCTGGGGAGGTAGGGAAGGACTCTAGGCTGGTGAGGTAGTGACACCGGAGCAGCCATGAGACATCCCAGGAGCAGTCAGCCAGTCCAAGCAGAGAGAACAGAAAGAGAAGAGGAAGGAGCTTTCCTTGGGCAAGAAGAGAAGAAGGCTAAAGTGTCTGGAGGCCAGAGAGTGGGAGAGCAGAAGCCAGGTCACACACCTCGTGAGCAAAGGCAAAGGATTTGGGTTTTATTCCAGGTGTAGTGGAATCACTGAAGAATGTTAGCCATGGGAGTGATCTGGTCTGGCTGATGGTTTAGAAAGCTCAGTCTGCCTGTCGTACCTAATGTAAACTGTAGCAGCCCAGAGCAGACCAGTTATCAGGCTATGGCGAAGGTGCAGGCAGGGAGTGGGCATGGCCTGGACATACCAGTAGATCGACGTGAAACGCAAGGGGAAGGGCCCCTTCCAAGCTGTGTTTTACTGTTTTTGTTTGTTTGTTTTCCTTTCCTTCATTTAAAAAAATTTTTTAGATGTAATTGCTATACATCTTAACAGCAGACAAAATGAATTTTCTCAGCATAAATACATTGCTTATTAGTCCACTCACAGATATTACCATACACACATGTTTGTGGCCAATAAATGTTCAGCTTTTCTTTTCCCTTGATTCCCTCCATCTCTCCCACCACCACCCCCATTGCCCACCCTCCTCCCACACTGTCTTTAGTGGGTTTTGATCTGAGCAGCTGAGAGGGTGGTGGCACTATCTACTGAAAGGGAGGCAGGGAGAGGTGATGTCAGAGGGAAGGAGCTGGGGAGTAGGGGGTCCCTGGTAGCCCAATAGATGTTTCAGGTATGTCCAAGACCACTGAGCATGCGTCGGGCTGAGTGGAAGGTCTAGGCTAGGAGCAGAGGCATAGAAATCATCATATCCAGATGATCCCAAAGCGAGGGGCCTGAGTAAAACCTCCCCTAAAGAGTATAGCTGCAGGGCCGGCAGGTGGAGTGGTGTTAAGGCACTGGACTCCCACATGACCAACCATGGTTCAAGTCCCTGACCTGACAGCTTATTTTCTCATGTTCCCTTTCTCTCTCTCTCATATCCAATTGAAAAGTAAACTATAATAACAAAATTAAATAAGTTTTTGTTTGTTTGTTTGTTTTTAAAGAGGAATATAGATACAGTTGTACTGAGCCTTCAGGACTGATCCCCAAGGACTGCAACGTCTAGAGGAAGCTGACAGGCAGGTCTGGAAGAGAATGTGTTTTGAGGAGAGGTGGTTCGTAGAGCCCAGTGCTACTGAAAGGCTGAGTGAGAAAGGATGGAATATTGGCCACTGGCCATTTTGCCCTTTTTGGCAGGAGACTGAGAGTGGCTAAGGGAAGAACGGGAGATTGGAGGGTAGTTGCAGAGAGGAGCAGAGAAATGGGTCTGAGCCACAGGGAAGCAGGGGGCACAAGAGGAGGTTGGTGCTTGTTTAAGTGGGTGCCATTGGGTCAGCTTCGTGGCAGTGGTAATGCGCTGCTCAAAAGAAGCCAGATTGGGACCAGAAGATGGCGTAGCAGTTGCATCAACAACAGTTCAAGTCCCAGATCCAGTAGCTTAAAAATCACACCAGGTGCATATGCGTGTGTGCCCAAGATCCCAGGAGGGGAGAATGGAGGAGAAGGGATTGAGATGTGACCATCCCCCTGGGGGTGATTGCTCCCTTTCCCTCTCACCATCTCTGTCTCTCTCTGGAGAATGCACATGCCCCAAAGCAAAAACCTCTTTTAAAAAAAGAGAAGAGAAAAGAAAAGAAAGAGAGAGAGAGAGAAGGCAGATCCCACATGCTGACCAAGGTTCAAATCCCTTGGCTGGTCAGTCTGGAACACATCAGACGTAAGTGCCAAGGATCCAACAGGCCGGAGGATAGCAGGAAAGAGATCACAGTGTGACCAGACCCTGTGGCGGGTGCTTCTCTCCCTCCCCAACCTCTCTCTCACACACGCATATATATATCATGAGCAAAGAAAAAAACAGCTTATTAAGTGGATACTATTAAGACTTATTTATATACTGAAAGGGAAGTTTCAGTGGAGAGAGATTGATGATGTGGTAGAGACCAGACCATGGGAGACACTTCCTTGAGAACATGAAAGGGGGAACGTCCAGAACAGAAAGTCAGGAAGGGCTCTGCGGCTGGAGCCAGGATATCCCCCCGCTTTCATAGAAACCACTCCTTCCCTCAAGAAGCCTACAAGTAAGCAATGTTTGTAAGTTACGTTCACTAAGCCTTTGTACGTGTAGGAGAGTTGTTATATGACTCTTTTGGAAGAGAAGAGGCCAGACCCCAAGGTCTATGTCAGAATGACCTTATTCTGCTAGCACTGCCCCCAGGCAATACAGAGAGCTGGACTAAAGGATGGGACATTTTTATTAAGACTTGTGTGGTGGATCAGCCCGTGGCCTAGTGTTATGTGAGCTGGATGCTGCATGGTCGACTGCACAATTCAAGTCCCAAACCCAGAGGCTTGAAAAGCACTGTAGGCGCATGTGCATGGGTGCCCAAAATTCTGAGAGAAGGGAGGTGAAGAGAAGGGAAAGGAGGAAGCGAAGGGGAGGGGAAGGAAGGGGAGGGAAGGGGAGAGATGAGATTGTGGTATGACCATCCCAGATGTGGGATGCTTTCTCACTTTCCCTCTCTTTTTCTCTCTCAATCTCTTCAGCAAGCACAAGGCAAATTAAAAAAAAAAAAAAAGTGTGGGGCAAGTTACCATTTATAAATTTTTTAATCTATATTATTTCAATTGATGTTCTCAACACTTCTGAATGGCATACAGAATCAAGACTATTTTTTTTTTAGAGGTTCTTGCTGTAGGGCATGTGCACTTGCCAGAAAGACAGAGAGAGACGTAGAGACAGAAAGTAAGAAATCATCCCCCAGGTGGGATGGCCACGCCACAATCCCTTCTCCTCTATTCTCCTCTCAGGATCTTGGGCATGCACGCACACGCGCCCGGCGTGAGTTTAAGCCACCAGGTCCGGGACTCAAACTACAGTCACCTACATGGCAGTCCAGCAACATAGCCATTACGCCAACTGCTGGTCCCCAGAATCAAGACTATTATCTCCCCTTTTGACAGATGGAGAAACGGAGGCACACAGAGGTTGAATAACTTGCCCAAGGTCACATAGCTAATGAGTAACCGCCAGAGTAGCCCAGGTTTTCTGCGTTCCCTCCAGTGAGCCACGCTGTCTTGAGAAGTTTCAGCTGCCAGGACGAGCCCACTCTGCTGTGGGAGTTGGCCTCAGGAAAAGGGCCAGCATGACAGCAGGGGAGTGACCACAGCCTCCACCGCACCACAGCTGGGGAGCTTTGTCCTCCAAATAGCAGCCTGGAAGTAATTCATCAAAACCAAAGTTCCAGAGTTCGACTTAAATTCCTAAAGGAAGGAAACTAAGTCTGTTTCTTACTGACCCCGGGGCTGCAGAAGGAAGCCAAGTCCAGGCTGACCAAGAGTCCCTCTCCTGCCAGGTCAGGGCTGAAGGGCCAGCAGGCATGACTGCGTCGGACACACAGCAGATGGCCCTGTCCCACTACGCAGCACTTTATCCGCGGCCCACTTATCAGGCCACTGCGCCAGGCAAACACGGGCTGGGGCCCGGGCCCCTTCTCAGCCAAAGCAAACACTTCCCTCCCCCTGCCCAGGGCTCTCTGCCCTTAATCCAGGGCCGTGGCAGCCTCTTCAGGAGCGCTCATTATGGGAATTTGGGACCGTCAGCCCAGGAGCAGAAGTCCAGAGAGGGTGATTTAACATAAGCCTCGCAGGCTGGTAGACTTCACCGAGGACCAGGATGAATCGCCTTGATTTAGGATTCACACACGAGCGGTGGAACCTTTAAATCCCCGCCAGGGGCATGTGTGGACAGGTCGATATCCCCTGCAGGGGCATTAGTCACCCGTGGAGTCAAAGCTGCTGTTTGCAGGTGCCAGGGATGGTTTTTACATCTGAGAAAATAAGGCCCTCACCTTTCTGAAGGACTTTTTCTTTTTAATCTTCCTTAATTCCTGAGTTTGGGGATATGGCGTGCACGCCCCCCTCCCACCCCATAACTATCAGTCTGGCTTTCCAGGGGGTTCCAGGGAGAGCCCTGTTGGAGGGTCTCAGACCCCCACTTCTCCCTCACGCAGCTCCGCTCAGGAGAAATGTCCAGTTCATGTGATCAGAGAGCCCTCCAGGGAAAGGAAGAACCTGGAACTGGGAGGGAAGAGACCTAATTCAAGAGCCACCTCTGTGCTTTGGGCAGGTCACCTCCCTGAGCCTCCCTCTCAGAGTCTGGCATGTAGAGACCCCACCCACACCCAGGCCGTGAGCCTCTCCTGAGAACCTGTCCATAAGGGTCACTCGTGAACGTCCAAGCACCTGGGAATGTGAGCAGGGAAGACGTTCACAGTGAGAGCCGGCCACGCCGCGCACTGTGCTTTGTTTTGTTTTAATGATATTTCTGTGTCCTCTGTTTCTCTCTGTCTTTCTGCAAATCCCAGTAGAGGCTGAGAACTTGGTCACTTAACCAGGGCTCAGAAGGTGAATGAGGGGAAACAGGCCTTTCACTGTGTCCAGGCTGTGCATGTGAGGCGCTGACTCGGAGTGCAGCAGCTCCCAGCCCTGCTGGCTGGCTTCCCACCCCCCCCCAGCCATCACTGCATGCACACCTCCCTCTCAGAGTCTGGCATGTAGAGACCCCACCCACACCCAGGCCGTGAGCCTCTCCTGAGAACCTGTCCATAAGGCTCACTCGTGAACGTCCAAGCACCTGGGAATGTGAGCAGGGAAGACGTTCACAGTGAGAGCCGGCCACGCCGCGCACTGTGCTTTGTTTTGTTTTAATGATATTTCTGTGTCCTCTGTTCTGGATCCACAGTCATCAAATCCCAGTAGAGGCTGAGAACTTGGTCACTTAACCAGGGCTCAGAAGGTGAATGAGGGGAAACAGGCCTTTCACTGTGTCCAGGCTGTGCATGTGAGGCGCTGACTCGGAGTGCAGCAGCTCCCAGCCCTGCTGGCTGGCTTCCCACCCACCCCCAGCCATCACTGCATGCACATCTCCCGGAGGTCGGGAACCATCCGAGGTGTGAGCTGGCTCAGATGCCAGGGTGCTGGTCAGAGAGCCAGAGGAGACATCGGCCCAGGACCTGATCAGCAGCCACACAGCCAGGGGCCCTCAGTTCCTGCCCCACCAACCTTGGGCTAGATGGACTAAAGGGGTGGGTTTCAGCCAGGCCTGTGCCTGAGAATCACCTGGGCCCTCCACAACATCCTGACTTAGGGGTCCTGGGGCGCAGCCTGAGCATCAAGACTTCTAAAGGATCCCCAAGGGGGTATGGGGTGCTATGGAGCCAGGCACCCCAGGTCTGGAGTGGCTGGAACACCTCACCTACATAATCTCCACCGTGCCTTGTCTCCTTCCTTCCCGTTCTAGGGTGTGACTAGCCCAGGTCTGGATGTCTTAGAATAAGGACTGTGTTTAATTAAACAGTGAAGCCCACGGGGGTCTTGCACACAGTTTATCTGAAGGCTCGTAGTCTTAAATTGGTTGTAGCCTCTTCCCCACACCCCGACCCCAACTATCTCCCAAGAATTACCGATTCGTCCACAGTGATATCCAGCAGACCAGGCCCACTGCTGGGTCCCTGTGGCCCAGGGGACAACTGCAACTGCCTTCTCACCCATTCCCACACCAGCCTGACCCCTCCATCTCTCTGCCCCCTGCAGTTGTGTTAAAATGTTATGTATCACTTCCCCCCAGAATCTCAGAAATTCATTCTGTCTTATTACATTAGTCAAACTTTTTTTTTCTTTTTTTAAATTTTACAGTAGGGCACATGCACTCATCAGAAAGAGATACAGAGAGAAAGAGAGAGGAAGTAAGAAAGCAAGCTGCCACATCCAGGAATCAAACTGCAGTTAGCCATGTGGGAGTCTAGCAACTTAACCATCATGCCACCTGCTGGTCCCACATTAGCCAATTTTAAGCAAATTAACCACATCTCATTCATACCAGCTCTTCTCATACTTTAATGTGCCGGTGAATCCAAGTGTTCCATTAAATGCAAATTCTGATCTAATAATTTCAGGAGGGAGCCCAGGACTGCATTTATCAAGCCCCCAGGGGATGCCGACACTGCTGGTCCTCGGAGCACACTCTGAGAAGCAGGAACTATGTGGTGCCTTGCTTTACACAAGTGCTCCCTCTGCTCTGACCATCTGGAAGTGAGGACTGTGAGGGCTGGAGAGCTGACATGATTTGCATGAAGTCACACCACAGGTCGGGGGCCCAGCAGTAAGACCCTGGCTAGAACGCAGGGGCCCTGGTTCTCGATCCAGAGACCCCTTCTCCACGGTCAGTCATGGGAGGTGATTGAATGGGGGTCATGTGGTCCCCCAATATAATTAATATCTGGAGCTAAATGCAAGGGGGGGAGGGACTGCAGGTGGCACGGTAGTTAAGGTGCTGGACTCCCACATGGCCGACTGAGATTAGAGTCCCGGGCCTTCGCAGCTTGCTTTCTCACTTTCCCTCTCTTTCTATGTCTCTGGTTTTAAAAAAATAGTGATAATGACAAATGAACTTTAATGATAAAACACACACACACACACATACACACACACACACACACACACACACGGTGGGAATCTCTTCAAGGACTAAACCATAGGGTTGGAAAATGAGTGTTGGTTTCAGTCCAGGGAGGTGAAACTTGGGCAAAGGGCAGAGAAGGCATCTCCCTTCAGAGCGTGGGGTGGGGAGGAGGTAAATGCAGCCCCAGGGAGGCAGGATGCAGAGATAAACTTCCCAAAACCCGTAAGTCCTTCTCTTCCCCCCTTCCCTTCAGTGCGTGGGGTGGGGAGGAGGTAATGCAGCCCCAGGGAGGCAGGATGCCGAGATATCCTTCCCAAAACCCGTAAGTCCTTCTCTTCCCCCCTTGATCCTGAGACGAGTCAGTGCTGAGCTCGCAGCCTAACTAAGGGTGTCCTCCTATCTCCTTTCAGGTTTGGGAAGCAACTGAATCTCAACTAGAGTTCAGCCGCCCATTCTGCCAGCAAAAAAGAAGACAGATGAAGGCACCACTGCTCATGCGCTCTGGCTCCCGAAGTGGTCTACGGGCTGCTGGAGTAGCTAGTGACCATTCGTCCATGGAGGGGGGTGTGTTTCTGTAAGGACGATGCCTGGAGGCCGCCAGAGAGGCTGGGCCAGGGCTGATGGTGACATCCTTCCTGTGGTTTCTGGAGCTGCCGGAAGTCTGGGAAATGCCAGGGTGCTAGGGCAGGCTGAGGGCCTTGCTCACCCCTGTAGTGCTGTCTCGCTAGGTAAGCCGTTGGGCTCAGGAAGTACTACCGTCCTAATGTAGTGACAGAGGATGCTCACAGCGGTGCAGTGTGGGGGTTGGGGTGACAATCGGTTATTTTTAGCTATTTGCCAACCCACTCTCCTGGTCTGTCCCCTGGTTTAGAAGCCCAGCGATGACTGTAGTAGGCCAGGTAGGGTATCTGAGCCACTGGCGAGGCATTGGAATGCAGAGCACCTTGAGGGCCAATCCTGGTCTCCCAGACCAAATCTTCCACCATCACCCTCATGGTCTGGATGGCCTGTAGCCAGAGCCAGCACCATCCACGTCTCCAGGAAACTGTCTACCCTGCAGAGTCCAGGGACGTCGCAACACCGAGAACAGAGGACAATTCCCACATACTCTGCAGAGCATACAAGAGGGGACAATGTGGGCACCTCGGGCCTCCCAGCCTTCACTCTGCCACCCAGGGTGCTGCAGGATTTGGGTCAAAACTACCAGCTTCCACGGGGAAAACATCATTGTCCAGGGCTCTCAGTGAGCCCTCTCAACACTCTGGCCTCCCTTGGTGACACCGACAACCCTGCTAGAAGGCCCTTGGGGAATCACCTGTGTCGGGGTGAGCCAAGCTGCACTGGGTCAGGAGGGGAACAGCACCTAAAAAGGAAGTTAACCGAATAAAGTGCTTGCCCACCGCTCCTGTGATCTCTGTCCTAACAATATAGGACCTTGCAGCTGGAGGGACAGCAGAGAGAGAATATAACAACGTTGGCTTGGGTTTTTTCTTTTTCCTTTTTTCTTGTTTAGGACTGGGTAAAAGGATCACACAGGAGAAAATAAAATCATTACATTTCAGAGAGAGGCAGGCCCACCAAGCTCCTCTAATCCCAGGTCTGTATGATTAGAAGACCAAGCCGAGGGGAGACTAGGCTTCCTGCTATGGCTGGTTAGTGGCAGATGCTCCCTCCTCTGGGGCTCGCCCCGATCACCCCACTACTGTTTTATTTTCCTCATCACTACCTGACACATTGTCTTTCTTTACTGGCTTATTTTTTTAATGACCTGCAACCCTCCCCACACCCTCACCCCACCCAAGACTAAAAGCTCCATGACAACAGGACCCGTTTGTCCTGCTCTCCTCTGTGTCCCCAGCACAGCCTTGGTAATCAGTGAACGGCCCTTCAACTCCCAAGTGGCAGAGGCAGAACCCAGATGTGCTGCTAAAAAGTGGCTCCTCCGACTTCCCTCTGTCTCTACGATTGAGGCCCTCAGGGCAGGCGTCCATGTCTCTGGTCCACTCCTGGCCCTCACAATTCTATAGCACATAGTAAGTCCTCAGCAAAGTCTGTAGAGCCAGGGGAGGACCAAAGACAGCCCTTACAACCTGACTCTAGAAAGCTTGCCAAGAGCCCCCAGGCACACCTACGTGTGCTCGCATCCTCCCTCTCAGGAGTCCTGAAGATGGTGCGGCACTTGCCAGAGTCCCTCGTTAACCAGCACCGGTGTTCCTGGCACACCCGAGCGCCCTGGCCCTCCAGAGCTGGTTAGAGTCTATTGATGTTAGCTTTCCCGCTGAGACGTTATCTCCTGTTCCAAAGGCCTATTGACAGAGATGTGTGGTATGGCCCCTCACAGGGTGTGAACCAGCCTCCTAGAGCAATCGCTAAGGCAGGAGAGGAAATGAAGAAGACAGGACAACAGACAGCTGGGGAATCTGGGGCGTCACTGTCCTGCTAAGCCCGTCACAGGTGGCGTGTGCGCCAACGAGTGAGGGAGCCTTCCGCTGCCTTCTGTGTGAACGCCGCCTGACCCCAGTGCAGCCTCCCATGGTTCAGCGGCCTCTGCAAGTGGGAGAAATGGCGAAAGGCTCCCTAGCAGTCCACCTGGGCTCATTGGAGCCAAGGATGATGAGAAGTACCTGAGTTCATGCCTGGCCAAAATGTGCAGCCTTCCAAAATGCCTTCCGGAAAGCAGCGTGGTCATTGACTCCAGCCCAGTACCTGCTAGAATGTGACTAGTTCTACCATGGCTTGACAGGAAGTGGAGTCGGGAGGGAGGTTGGAATGCAGCTTGCTTGGATCTTGCAAAAAGAAATTTTTAGAAAGTGGACAGAGAGCCAGATGGTTGTGTGGTGGTGAAAGCAGCTAGTTCTCATATGCCCAACAGTGCAGTTCGAGTCCTGTACTCAGCTACTTGAAAAACATGCCGGGCATGTGGGCGCAAGTGCCCAAAATTCTGAAAGGAGATGGATGGGAAAGGATTGTGGCACTACCATTCCTTGTGGGAGGTGCTTTCTCACTCTTCCTCTTCCCTAGCAGCGCATATACCCTCTACCAAAATTTAAAAAGGAAGAAAGAAAATAAAGCAGATAGAGCTGCTACTACATAACTAGTTTTAATTCTTCATGCCTGTAATAGAATTATACATCCAAAGCTTTGTCACAGCCTCACGGGGGTAGAGTATACTTTCCTACTCCTTACACTAGGGCTTGCCCCTGTGATTTGCTTTGACTAATGGGATGTTAGCAAAAGTGATCCAAGCAGAGCCTTGCAATGAGCTTGCGTGGTTGGGCCGGCCCCTGGCACTCCAGTGATGGACCAACAGGAACCTGACTTACTCTCTTACTCTCCTTTAAATGACTGAAAATGTATAAAGCGATGGTTTTCAGACACTGGGGAACAGGTGATACAGAACATTGATCCCCAGGAAACAGGAAACAAATGAGGTGAGCCCTATGATTACTTCAACTTACTGCAGAGTTTTCAGGTTGCAGCTCAGGAAGGGAAAACTGGGGGTGGCATGGGGGGAGACATCTGATGGCTTCCTTGAATTGAGGAAATGGATCTGGGAGTTACCAAAGCCAAGGTGGCTAAATCTGCAAGGCAGAGGACCAGAGATGAGAGAGCTTCAGAGAGAAAGAGACAGAAAGGGAGAACATGCTATGGAAGTCTTCTGTTACTCTTGAGTCTTCAGCTAACTACTGATCAACATGTACACCTGAAGACATGACCCAAAGCTGGAGAAGGAACATCAGAGAGGAGCAGGTAGAATAAGTTCTAGAGATAACACAGGGCTGGGGATGCTTCATGTTTCCAACAGCTAGAATGGAGAAACCATTTCAGAAAAGGGTCATTAAATGGAGATCATTAAATGAAGACTCAGAATGGTATTGCCCCAGAATTGGGGCCAAATTAGCCCTAGGCGAGAGATTGCTCTGATCCCACCTAACGAAGCTTACAAAGCAAGCCTCAGCCCAGCCTTGGTGGCTCAGATGCAGCTTACTCATCTGCAGTGCTGGAAGCCACATGGCTGACCACAGATTTGGATTCCCAGTGAAATCAACCAGAAACACACTAGGACAGCTAGAGGAAGGGGACTGCAGTGAGGTAAGACCCTGTAAGGGTACTTGCCTCCCTCTCCCCCTCTCTCTTTCTCTCTCGTACTTGTACTCTCTCATGAAAGAAATACATTTTTTTAAAAAAAGTAAATAAAAGCAAATCTCGAAATTGTCCAATTGTTTCTGGTAAGTTTCCAAGTAACTTCACTGAATACCAAAATAAAGCTCAAAAATATGCTAAAAGGGCTGGGGTTCCATTATGTGCTGCCTAGAGAAGTCAAATTCCTCATGGATTCCAGAGTTCAAATGCCCAGACTGGTCAATCTGAAACACTTTGGATGCATGCCCAGGGTCTGATAGGCTAGCAGACTGAAAGAAGGTGATCACAATGTGACCAGGCCCTTTGGAGGATGCTTCTCTCTCTCTCTCTTTCTCTCATGCACTTACATGCTCTATCATAAATAAATTTAAAATTTTATTTAAAAAATTTAAGGGAATACAAAACAAAAAAAACTTGCATTGTTGCAGCATCCAACAATATAAATTTCACAATGTCTGTCATCCAATAAAAAATTACAAGACTAGGCAAGTAGGTGGTGATGTAGTGATTAAAAACTGGACTCCCACGTGACCAAACACAGTTCCAGCTCCAGACCCGGCAGCTTAAAAATCACAGCAGGCACATGTGCATGCATGCCCATAATCCCAGGAGGAGAATGGAGGAGAAAGGATTGCAGCATGACCATCCTCCCTGGGGAGCGATTTCTCCCTTTCCCTCTTTCTATCTCTGTCTCTTTCTGGTGAACACACGTGCCCTGTGGCAAAAACAAAAACAAAATAGAAATACACCCTAGAAATGATAAAAATGATAAATAAATAGAAATATTTTTTTAAATGTAATGAAGGCCAAGTGCAGTTGCACAACGATGACACTCTGTGATGCTGAGGCCACATGGAAAGGTACCAGGTTCATGTGCCACAGTCTCCCTGTACACATTGGGCACATGCATGCACATGATCCTGGCTGACTGGGGCTAGGGATGGATCATGGTGTGGAGACCTTGTTGGGAGTGCCTCTCTCTCTCTCTCTCTCTCCCTCTCTCTCTCTCTCCTTTCTCTCTTCCCCCGTTATGGAAGTGGATGTGTGTTTTGTTTTTGTTTTGTTTTGTTTTTAGAGAGAATTTTTGCTTTTGTACTCACCAGAGAGACAGAAGTCAAAAGAAATCACCCCTCAGGGAGGATGCAACGCTGCAATCCCTTCTCCATTCTCCTCTTGAGATCTTAGGCACACACACACACACACACACACACATGTCCAGTGTGAATTTTGAGTTGCCAGGTCCAGGACTCAAACCACAGTTGATTATGTGAGAGTCCAGTGACATAACCATTATGCCATATGCTAGTCCCAGAGGTGTGTTTTTCATATAGGCAGAAAGATAGACCCTGTCATTTTTTAGGTGTAAAAATGGTTCATTCATGGAACCAGCAGTTAGTGGAATGGCTATGTCGCTGGACTCCCACATAGTCAACCACAGTTTGAGTCCTGGACCCGGTGGCTTAAGCTCACGCCAGGCGTGTGTGCGTGCATGTCCAAGATCCTGAGAGGAGAATGGAGGAGAAGGGATTGTGGCGTGGCCATCCCCCCCTGGGGGGGGGGTGATTTCTCGCTTTCTGTCTCTCTGTCTCTCTCTGTCTTTCTGGTGAGCACATGCACCCTATAGCAAAAACCTCTCCAAAAAAAAAATAAAAATGTTCATTCATCAGGATATTCTTTTAACAACAATGTGCCATTCATTGTAATAAATCTGAGTATCCGGAGGGACTAAGAGAAAGTGCCCGCTCTCTTGGAACTTACATTCTAATTAGTAAATTAGTAAAGTGGACTATAAACAAATAAGCCAGAGAATCTGATTTAAGAAGGAATCGAGTGGGATAGAATGGGCTTGAGCTCCTGGTCAAGGTGAATAACAATGTGAGCAGAGGAAGGGTCTGGAGAGGAACTTGAGTGGTGATTTACGTGTTTGGTGATGTGAGGAGGCATGAGATGTGAAGCATAGCAAAAAGGGGATTTATGAGGATTGGGGCCATTTGAGAATAAGAGACCAGAGTGTTCCATGACCTGTGTCCAGGGGCTGCCAGGAATTTAACAGCCAGGAAATGTGGAGAGGTTGGCTGTGGATGTGGAGGTCGAAAATGTCCATGTGAGATGGAGAGGGATGGGGGTGGGGTAGTGTTTCCATTAATACAGGTTTCGCTTTGGAAAAGGCCCGGATTCTTCTTTCAAGGCATGGAAGGGGGCACAATCCTCTCTAGCGTTAACTGTTTTATCTGGGGCTTCCATAGCCCACACCAGCC